CCAGTGAATATAACATGTTCATACTGAATCAATAAACATCTACAATACACATGCATAACCTAGCAATGGATACATTATGGCACCTGTGGTAGTGACAGAGGTGTGGAAGGGTAGCTAGCTTTCTTCCTTTGCTTGTTAACGATGATGCGCCATTGGTAGTTTTTCCATTTAGCCGTACTTGTTAGGCTTGATCGGTAGCTCCTGGAAACTATCGCGGATATAGCTGGGCCAATAGCTGAACATACCTGAATATACCCTATGGCTGCATTTGCTGTTATTTATTAACTGCATTTGCTGGTTATTCCCAAGGGGCAAGTAACATTTATTGATGTTAGTTTTGCCACCAATCACTATTTTCATTATCACTCTAATGTTTATCACGCTGACAAGGAACAAAAACAACTCCAAACCGCTGCCTGACAATGTACTGTTTTGATATGGGTAGAATGACCGGTCTTAGGGCTTGTGGGATGGATTGAGTTCCTTCCTCTGTTAAGTGTGTGCCAAAGCTACAACGGTCATGGAAAACAACCATTAACTATTATTCTATAAACAAATAATAATAAACAGCTGGTATATCACAATGTACAATTTTACCATAAACATTATAAGAAAACAAAGAATGTTCTGTGCTGCTAACTTATAAATCGAGCAAAAACTCTTGATTACATGCTACTTTTGCCTGCTAATCAGAAATCAATAATCATTACTATAAACATTATAGAGACGAGAGACGGAATCGAGGCTAGTATCTAGTATTCTACTAGTATCTTTTTGTTTTTTTAATTGCACATAAAGTGATCGATCCCTTTCTTTTTAACCTAGATTTACTCTGAAAGTTAATTCTAACCTCGACCTATTCCTTGATAGCACTGGAATGGTCTCTTTTGACTAATTCTGTCCCTATATCCACGCCCCCCCCAAAAAAAATGATGATAACGATAATAATAATAAATAAACATTTCCTAAAAAAGAAGGCAGACATCATAGCGTGTCTTTTTCCTACAAATTTTCTCAACCTGTTCTCTTTGAGTTCAGGGCGAAGCAATGATTCTGTCTGACGAAAAACCAACTGGCAGTGATTCATACAGGTATTGGTGCTGAGGGGAGGGCAAACATTCCTCCCACCCAGCAAGTAAGGCAGGCCATGGGTTCGTCTGGGTTGGCGACCACTGGGACTCTTGCTAGGAGCTGGGGATACCCGTCTCATCCATGTCCCGGTGGCCGCCAACCTGGTGTGAGGCTTGTGGGGCAAAGCCTACTGGTCCTACACAGGTGGATTATGGGACCTGCAGCCAGCCACCCCTCACTATTTGGGGCATCTTTGGCGGGGGTGGCATCCACCCGGAGTGACTGCCAGAGGCTTAACATTAGGTGAGGCATCAGGGTGGTGGCTTGGAACATCCGCTCTTTGCGACAGGATGATCGGTTGCCACTACTGTCAAGGGAACTGAGGAAGCTGAGAATTAAGGTTGCTGTTCTCTCGGAGGTGGCTACACCTAGCACTGGCCAGGATGCAGCGATGGTTGCCATCTCTAGGGAGTAAAGCCATCTCCAGCAGACTTCAGCCCTTGGTAGTAGAAGTTGCTCCGGTAGATGAGCGCATCATGGTATTGAGATTGAAGCTTGCATTTGGCTTCATGTCTCATATTGCTGTTTACACTTCTATCGATGTTTGTAAACTCGATGTGAAAAAGATGTTTAAAGCTAAACTATCATCTGTGATGGACAGTTGTCTTTGGCAAGATATTTGTATTGTTCTGGGTAACTTCAATGTGGTATCTGGTTGCGATCAAGCAGCTGGCACCGAGAATAGCTTCCTTTCCGATACTGTCCTCGGCGATATATTTCTATTGTTCTCGGTAACTTCAACGCGGTATCTGGCTGCGATCAAGCTGGCTATGAGATGTTTGTCAGTCCCCATGGTTCAGGAGCTGGTGCCGGCAGCGAGAATAGCCTTTTTCCCGGTTCCTTGCAAGGTCCTAGAATTTGAGGATTTCTGGCTCTTGGAACTAGCACTGACCTACATCATTGCACATGGTACATGGTACAGGTTCACCTCCATGTGGCCCCCAGTCCCCCTCTCCTGAGCCCCCCCCCCCAAAAAAAAGGCTTTGAGGAGGTACAAAGATCAAGATTAAATAGACACACTCTTCCTCAAATATATTGGTATAAACTGTAGTCTAAAGTAAATGTGATTATGTGCCTCTGATTAACTGTAGGCTATAGCTGTATTGCCCTATGCAATACGGTAACGCTATGCTCATAAATGTGTAAAGCAAAACATGGTAAATTAAGTCAGCCACTTAATAAGAATTAGAGGGGGAAATATTGCTAGTAATAGTAATAATCATGAGACCCAGCATGTATTACATACTGTGTCACACTTAGATATGTACTGCAGAATAATTATGGATTAAAGTTTAGAAGCATAAAACGTGATATTTTTTTATTGCTATTATTAAGATGGTGGGAAAGTTTGTACCTTCCTGGGAATCTA